CTGTTTCATTGAATGTCATGACCTAGACAAAAATCAGAGGCTTTGCTCGCCCCCTTTAATTTGATTTAGAAGAGATTGCCTTGAAGCTTACCTCTGCAGAAAGACCTAGTCTCAGCAGGCAGCCAGGTATGTCTGGTTTTATTTTATCTTAAAAACATTAGGATTCTGCTAACTGTAGTACAAACTGTCTTATAAAATAAGTACACAGTGTTAACATAAAYGCCTATATTTTTAAAAATAATGAACTATTTAGCTCTATAACTGGGATTTATCTCTTCCTTACAAGCCACATGCCTATCATGCCTTCCCAAATGTGAGAAATGAATCTTCAGCTTCTAAAATTATATATGTGAGATAAATATATATAATCATACATATATATGTGATATATCTCCCACTCTTCAGAATATATATATATATGTATATAAATATTCTCATATACATATATATATATATATATATATATATATATATTCTGAGATATATATTCTCCCTCTCCTGTTTATGCCTCAAATAGCACTTGGAATCGTGCCCTGAAAAAAAGTGGGCATTTTATATGTTTTTGAATGCATATTGAATAAATAAAGCATGGTTCAAAAGGCCACTGCATAAGATTTATTTGTGACTGGAAATAATACTGTTCCTTTTCTCTCCAGAAAGCATTATACTACTTCTTAAAGGCAGCAAAGGCCGGGAGTGCAAATGCCATGGCATTTATAGGAAAGGTACATGCTTCAAGTTGGTCGATAKTTTTCATTTCTTAAAAATCTAAGAAATGGCCAGGTCTGGTGGCACTCACCAGTGATTCCAGCTACTTGGGAAACTGAGGCAGGAGAATCATAAGTTCGAGACCAGCCTGAGCAACTTGGGAGAACTTGTCTCAAGAAAAAATTTAAAAGAGATTTCAAGGTGTAGCTCAGTGATAGAGAGTTTACCCAGCATTCATAAGCCCTGGATTTGATCCGGAGCACTGAAAAAACAAACAAACACGCAGCCTAAGAAATGAATGGTACCAGTTAAATGAACTTAGTGTAGGGTGACAGGACTGCCACCTCTTTCATGGAAGCAGCTGAGGGCTAWTCAGATGCAACATGAGGGTGGTTTTCTTGAGTTGACAGGTTGGGAGGAAGCTCTATCCACCTTTATCTGAGGCAGCAGGAATAGCCTTGAAAATGAAGCTGGCCTGGGGTTCCTCTGAGACTAGGAACATTCCCAGCCTCAGCCCTATCAGGTTTCTCCCACCCTTGAAATGAGACCCAGTTCTGCACTGACCAAAGTCTATCCTTATGCCACCTCTGCTGGGGGTCCCCTATGACTGCTGAGCAGGCTTTGTAGAGGATTTTTCTAGAGAGAAGTGTTCTCCCTCTTCAAAGACCACTCCCTCCCACCTCCCCAGTGCTGCCCTTGGCTCCCTGCAGCCAATTTGCATTAGTAACCAAGTGCCCTGTTTCCAGAAAGGCTACCTACAGTAATTAAGATGCAACATGAGAAACATGAGAAAACACAAATAAGGTCCATTTTTTTTTGGCCCTTGGGCAAGGTCACTTTGGAATATATGTAGTAGATGATATCTTTAGTCTTTTTTGTTTTATGTTTTAAATTAAGGTAAAATTAAATTAGCTTAAAATTAACTTTCAAAGTGTACAATTCAGTAGTATTTACTATATTCACAATGTTGTGCAATCATTAACTTTATTTAGTTCAAAAATATTTATATCACCCTGAAATTTTTTTGTTTTTTACACCCTCTTCTACTTTTTTCCTAGATGTACTTAGAGGGGAATGCTGCTGCACCTCAAAATAATGCAACTGCCTTTAAATACTTTTCCATGGCAGCCAGTAAGGTAGGTCCTCAAATTACTGCTATAAACACATAAAATTTAATTGGCTTTTGTTAGTATATAGACTGATGCCCAAGAGTTGACTTTGAAGTCCCAAGCCCAGGTAATGGGCCTGGAAGCTTTGTGTCTTAGAGAAATGATTGGGTTTGATAATATAAGATGGGTTGGGTGGGGAAGACACCATTTGTCTTATTGGTAAACAAAAAGGAGAGTGACTTGTGCTGCCCTCGTTGGGGCTAGCAAAAACCCAAACAAAAGTCCTGCTTTCTTTTCCTCTCTGTAGTAGGTGATGCTTTCTAGCTCAAGAACAGGAAATGAAAAAGATGGAGAGAGAGGAAGGGGTAGCTCAGTCAATAACTGCAGTAAGTTCAGGATGAAGAAAGCCAGGGAATATCCAGTTTTCTCCTGTCATATCTCACCCAATAGCCAGAGCTCTTCCTGGCCCAGGAAGGAGGTTGACAGGAAGGTGGTCAGGGCAAGGAGATCAAGAACATGGTAATGGAGACAGAATTCCTGACTTGAATGTCAGCCCTGCAACCTACTTTGTGACTATGACTAACCTATTTAAACTTTTTGTGCCTCACTATCCCAAAAATAGCAAATAAAAAATTTTTCTGGATAACATTGTCATCAGAATTTAAGGCTTGCGTGCGCGTACACGTGAGCGCGCGCACACACACACACACACCTCGTATCATAAAATACTTAAAGCAGTGCTCTTGGCACATAGTAAGTGCTGTGAATCAGTTATTATCTTTTGAAGTCTGAGACCAGTTAGGTAGACTGAACTTAGAAATATAACCAAGGCAGAATGGATTGGAACTATGAGGGAATACAGAAATGGTGTAACAGTTGGCCCTGTGTATACCAGGTTGTATACCCATGGATTCCAACAACCATGTATCAAAACAAAACAAAACTATGTTTTAGTTAGCTTTTACATTCCTATGACCAAAATATCTAACAAAAACAACTTAGAGGTGGAAAATTTGGGGCTCACAGATCAGAGGTCTCAGCTCATAGATGGCTGACTGCATTGCTCTGGGCCCAAGGTGAGGCAGTCCAACATGGGGGAAGGGCCCAGTGGAGGAAAACTGCTCAGCTCATGATGGGGGTCAGAAAGCAGAAAGAGGGGAAGAGGCCATAAGGGAAATGATCCCTTCCAGGGCACTCCCCCAGTAACCCACCTACTCCAGCCTAGCCCTACCTGCCTACAGTTAACACCCAGTCAGTCCATTCAAATTAGTATGGACTTATTGATTGGTTTACAGCTCGCATAATCTAATCACTTCACTTCTGAATATTCCTGCATTAACCGGAGTTTTTTGGGGACACCTTAAGCCCGAAGCATAACAAATTGCATCTATATTGAATGAACTTGTACAGACTTATTTTTTCTTGTCATTCCTTAAATAATACAGYGCAGCACCTATTTACATAGCATGATATTAAAAATAAATTTAAAGGGCTGGAGTTGTAGCTCAGTGGAAGAGCGCTTGCCTGGCGTGTGTGAGGCACTGGGTTTGATTATCAGCACCACATATACATAAATAAAAATAAAGTTCCATCAACAACTAAAAGAAATATATTAAAAATAATTTAGAGATGATTTAAAGTATACAGGAGAAGGTGCATAGGTTATACACAATTACTATGTCATTTTACATAATGGACTTGAGCACCTGTGGATCTTGGTATTTCTGGGGGTCTTGGAACCAAACTGCTTCATACTGAGTGATGACTGTGATATACATCGCTTGCTATCAAAACCTTTGTCCTGGTTCTTAGCACCAGGAAGCTATTATCTGTCAGGTAAAAAATTAGTTAATGATTCTGACCTTTTAATACCTAAAGAATGTCCTCATCCCAACAACCATCAATCTAATTTTGGTAAATGGCCTTTATAAACTTTCTATCTACCACACAGTAGGAATCATTTATTTGTCTTAGAATTTTGTAGTGCAACACTGGCAATAAAGATGTCTTCAAATTGAGGAGTATTTTCAACTGTTCTCAGTTTTTAAAAGCCTACACGCTGCTTAGGAGCCTATTTATACATGACTAGCACCTCTAGCTGCTGCTCTTGTGGTGTAAATTACTGGGAAAGCTAGTACTCTGCTTCTCTCCCTTGTAATTTATATGAAATTGTTGCTCAGCAAGCCAGTCATCTGGAGTACCATTACATTAGAAGGACAAGGGAAAGCAGACAGAAAAAAAAAGATAACTGAGGAAGATCTCCTATAAACTGGCAAATAATGCTGATTTGTCAGTCCAAAGGAATAATGCTGGGAAGCTGGGTATGTAGATTAAGTCAGTTCCCTAACTATTCAGGGCTTTGTAACTAGCAGTGATTTGTGCCACCCCATTCAAAACCTGAGCTTCCTTTCTTTATGAAAGAAATATAAAATTATACTTAAGGTAATTATTCTTAATGACACTGGGTGGGTACAGACACATACTCCTTGGTCACTGTATAAACAATCTGTTAGATTTCTCATGCATATTTTCCTTTTACTACTTTAAAAAACATACTACTGCTTAATTTTGTTTTGAAAGTAATATCAGTACCAGGACACAAAGTTACAGACTTTATACCCACTTTGGTCTAATGTACTTTAAACACTAATGTTAAAAAACAAAAACAATGTATGTAGAAAACAATTTAAAATCTAAAAATTATGGGACATTAAGCCTGTATGGGATCATATGCCTTAGACTCTTCTTACTCTTCTGAATATATGCAGCCCAACTCCGTATCCATACTTTTGTCATACCTACTCCCTTGCCAGATTCCCCCATTCCAGGTCCTACAGAACTCAATCCTCTTTCTCTTTAGAAAGCCTCCTCACCCCTGCTGACTCACATCATCTTTCCCTTCTTAAATCACCCCATAATCACTCTCTACTTCTGCAGCTTTCTATCTTCTGGCTTCTGTCCTCCTGTCCGAAGGCCATATCTCCTCAACTCAACAAGGACATAGCTAGGGTTCATTAAATATCTGTCTAATAAAGAACTATCTTCTTCCTAGGTTCATGTCAGTTAACCTAAGCTCTAATGTGGAAGTTGTATATTCTGGTGGCTTAGCTACACATATGTTTTATTTGGCCCAGAAAGAGTTTGAAAAACAAATAAATTTCACATTGAAATTTGGACACTGAGATTCTTTTGTGACTCATAAGCATGATGATTGAGTGTTCACACTACTGTGTGAGATGGGCCTTCCTCAAAATTTGTTATGATGCCAGCATATTACTCATCAGATGTGAGAAAAGAATTGATTTGGACATTCAGATTTTCTTGGAAAATGGTAAGAGTGACTGTATAGGAGTGCCATTTTGTATGACTGGCTGGATCAGAGTGGTCAAGTAGCTGCTGCTGTCTTTGGACAGGGGAGGCACACTCTGGTTTACATTGGACTCCACCATTCTCTCCTGGCTTAATATACTTCTTACATTACCAGAACGGCTCCTGCAGATACCTAAATTGGCTACCCTTGACCTGAATGTTCTAAACAAGCATTCTAGGYATTAAACAGGTGATGAGTAGTCCAAAGAGCCTCAGTTTCCCAGGGACTCTCCTAAAGAAGAAAAATATTTGTTCCAGCTATTCTAACTTTCCTCTTCTTCTTTCCCTTTTTTCTTACCTTCTCTCATTTTCATTCCCTTCCCTTCCATTTTTTCTCATCATCTAAATGAAGTTAATTAGAAGAAGATAGGCTSACTAGTCTTTGCCAAACCCATCATACAAAGTCTTAATACTCCCCAAACAGCATAACCCATGATTCCTAGAGATAAGTCACAGGTAGACATGGTCAGGAGAGAAAAGGGAAGAAGAGAACGGAGATGCCATTTATTTTAAATACAGATGGATTATCCTTAAGAACTCTTATAATACTGGGTCCTTTGTTTACATGTATAGGCCCAAAGTTTGGATTCTTGAAACAGTTTTGAAATGGAAAGAACACTCTGCTTGGGTCCATAATAACCAAATTTAGATGGTAAGAAGAAATTCAGAGAGCTTTCTATTAGAACTCAAGTTCCTGAGGAAATATCATAAACCTGCCAAACAAACATATAGATATGCTGAAAGCAAGCCAGGGGGCCAAGCCATGGCTCCTTACACAGTTACCTGAGAGTGAAGCACATGAAGGGAGAGAGAAAGAAAATGCGAGTTTTCTAGTTGAGGAAGTCACTTTCAAGGTTCACTCTTCCCCTGGGATTGATATGCTAAATACCAATATATTTGAACACTTGCTGTGGAACACTGTCTTCTAGTACTAAATGTGCTAAATGTACTCAGAGACATTAATCAGAAAATAAATGGTAATTAATTTAGCATCAAGTGGAAAAGAAAACATTCTTTGACACTATGAACCGTCAAATTTGAATGAAGGAACATATACTAACAATGCTCTACTATCTGTAGTGGCTGGATTGAAATCCACAGAGTCTCTAAAATGTTATTTGGCTATTTATGGCAACCTCCTTTGACCAAAGTAGGAAAGAACTGTCTGGATACACTTTCCCCTTTTGGAAAGCTCCTGTATGTCCTTCAAGATCCAACTCAAATGTCTTCACCCTGACAATTCAATCCTCTTCAATTCCTAGCCTCTCCGGGCATTTGAATGTCCTTCTTCTAGGTGAGCACAACTCTCTCAATTGATTTCACTTTAGAAGTTAGCACATTTGACATGACTTTTAGAAATCTGACCCATCCCTCTGATATGGCTCAGAATCCACAAGTCTGTAAGCTCCTCAAGGCAGGGATCACAGTTCATTCATTTTTAACCTCTTACTTCTTCTGCCCAATGCCTATTATGGAATCACACACATAACAAATACTAAATGAGCATTGGATGAAAGAATGGAGTAAGGATTTGACATTCTTTTCCCTCTTACTTTCTTGTCAGAGGGGGTTATGAACGTATAAAAGATAAACTAGAGAGGTCAGAATAAGTTGCCAGCTGCCTGATTAACCTGCCTTGATTAATCTCTTACTGGGTACATTTCAAACATTTTGAATGACTTTGCAGTAATTTTCCTTATCATGAATTCTTCTGGGATTTTATTTAGATTTTTGTAACTCTTCTAGGGCAATGCAATTGGTCTTCATGGACTTGGTCTCCTTTACTTTTATGGAAAAGGAGTTCCTGTGGTAAGTTAAATAATTTCATTATATTTTCAACGTATTTCTAGCAATTTATRAGGTAAAATTCATGGTAATTCATTAATTTATGGGAATTAGTCTCTACTACCTGGTTCATCAAATTATTGTATTTGATAATAGAGAAAAAAATAATTCAGTAGAATCTTTGCCAAAAAGATGTAGGAGAATAAGCTTGTGACAAAAATAGCAACTTTAATTATATCTTAGAATCATAGATTCTAAATAGCTTTAGAAATATCTGTCTCCTGAGGATTTTATTGATAGAGAAATTTGTCATCTTAGTTTAACATGTCTTTTGAGTGACCTTCTCCTGACATCTAAGGAAATCTACTGACAATGTAGAAAAATACGTAATTTACACTGAAAATGAGATAATTATTTCCTAATAGAATCTAATGTAATAATAAAATAAAATGTATTACATTTCTGATGCTATTTTAATTAGCCCATATGGCACTCTTTTAAAAAGTGGAAGGCAATTGTTACCATGGAATCATACATATAGCTTTGAGTAATAGAGTGTAATTATCTTGCAGAATTATGCCGAAGCACTTAAATACTTTCAGAAAGCTGCAGAAAAAGGATGGCCCAATGCACAGTTCCAGTTAGGCTTCATGTACTACTGTAGGTACTACAAATACAGCTGCTTTATTTAGAATGACATATGCATTAGCAAGTCTGCTTCTTTTACAACAAAAACCAAATGGTTGGTGTGAGTGGTTTAAGAAGGAACAGTCAGGCAGCAATTTGAAGAGGGATTTGAGGAAAACTGAAGAAAAGGCATCAATTTGAGGTTCTTGTGTTAGCCAATGCACATATCCAAAAGCAAGTATGAAACTCACGAGAAAAGTTGAAATTGAAGAGAAAGATTTAGGAGGCATCAACAAAATAGGTGTGAGTTAAAAGTATCTGAGACCACAAAGGGAAAAGAGAGTATGGAGAAAAGCACAGTGAGGTCTGGTCAGAAATCTGGTGATCCTCCAAGTCATTTTTAAAGGATAGACAGGGGAAGAGAGATCATCGGGAAGAATAAAACAGCATGGTCAGAGGGACAGGGGGAAAAATGATCTAAAAAAGAGCCAAAGAGGCAGAGCTTTCCATAGAGAGTAAATGAAAGAGCTGCAATATGGAGAATCTTGGTGAGAATATTAGACTGTTTGGGGTGGAAGCCAGATGACAATGGGTTAGAGTGTGAATGGAAGGTGAGGAAATACATGAATTAAAATGTTCTTACCAAAAGTGTATCTTTAAAGTAAAAGAGAGAGATGGAATTACAGAACGAAGGGGACGAGAACCAAGAGCGAGTTGTTTTTGCATGAGAGACCTAAACATAATTATAATTGATGAAAAAAGTTTCTGGAAAAGTTAATGGTATTAGGATCTGATTGGGCCCATGTCAGTGGACACCTCATTAACCTTGATAGAGAAGTGGGATTTCTCATCCTCGAAGACTGGAAGGAGGGAGGAAAGAATGGTACAATGTAAATAGGGGGCAGGAGGATGGGGAGAGAGGCAAGTGAGGAAGGACAATGTGGAGTTTTCCTCAATAATTTCATAAGTATAAAGATGCCTTCTCAGAGCAGAGGCAGAGAGTTTGGGGTAGGGTGTTTGTAATAATCTCTCTGGAGGCTGAGAGATGGAGTGGTCAGGACAAATGCTAGGAGAACTGAACATATCCCTTCCAAGTCCTTCATATCAGAGATGTAGCCAGTATGCAGCTGACCATATCCTAAATGTCAAATATGGTCAAGAGGTCAGCTGACATTTTCCAACGTGGCTCACAGAAAGGCTCTTTTTGCACTATAATGGGGAGAGCATTGAAGACTTTTTCTTGTAGTTCATTCCAAGTCCTCAGGTCAGGATCTGTCATTCCTAAAGCTCCCAGGGAAAGAGTCATAGTAATCCTAATGTATATTAAATCTTTTTATGCTTTGACTCATTTAATCCTCTCAACACACCAGGTAGTGGGGTGGGGGGCATAGCACATTGTTTATAGATGAACAAACTGAGTCGGACATGTTGACCAGGACCACACAGTTAGTGAAGCTGGGATTCAAGCAATGTGCCTCCAGAGCTTTTACTTTTAATCACTACATGGCATTGCCTCTAAAGGCCAAGAAATGTTAGCGTTGGGAGGAAATTTAAGGACCATTTAGGGAAAGCTTTTGCAAGTAAAATGCCAGGTGTGTCAAAAAGAGGAGTAATAGGAGAGTCAGGACAAGATTTTCTAATGCTGGGAATCTTCTGATTCATTTGCTTCAGTACCAAATGCCTCTCCTTGCTCCAACCATGAGTTGGGTCAGAGATGGGTTTCCTGGAGCTGGGAATTTCCTTCTCTATGCTCCATGATTGTGGCTGGGTAAGCTACACTGGTATCCTGGCATGGAAAGATGACAAGGATGGTGAGTAGATCATGGTGAAACTCCTGTTCCTTAGAGACCACCACTTGGTCTCCTTCTCATTAATGAGTTATACCATACTGAAGAAATATTTTCATGAGATTAAACTTCTTTTTCTTGGTTTTCTGATAAGTCAAGTTCACACATTTCTAAATTCTTGCACCCTAAATCAGCTCCCCATCCCCCAAGAGTGGATTTGACTTTTGATTGGCTTTTCCCAGACTATTTAAGCTAGCAGGTATCACTATGACTATTATAGTCATATTATAATGTTAAAAAAACAAATAGGGAATATCTCAAAACAATTTTAATTTTCAGCTGGCTCTGGAGTATGGAAGGATTACAAACTTGCCTTCAAATATTTTTACTTGGCATCCCAGAGCGGGCAGCCCCTTGCCATTTATTATCTGGCTGAGATGTATGCAACAGGAACAGGAGTGTTAAGATCCTGCAGAACTGCTGTGGAGGTAAATACTGGACTGTTTTTCAAGTTCTTATCATTTCACACACGGGGATACTGGAGAGGGGAGATACTGTCCATAAATTGTGGGTGCTTTTTATTTTTATGGGAATTACCTCTTTTCTTCGCATTGACATTGTGAACACTGACATTTGCCAGAGAGAAAAAACAGTGATGTAACTTGGACTGGGAAAGGGAGAAAGAGAAATGATCTCTCCTCTTTTGCATTTGGCTTTTT